CAAAAATAATTTTTGTACAGCCTGTTGGTGAATTAGGAAAACCTTGAGTCCAAAATGTGAGTGCACCTTTATGGGGGGACGTGGTCCCCAATTTGACAGGGGAAACAAATTGTATTTCCTCCTACCTGCCATTTACATGTACTGCTGTCAACTCTGGACACCCTAAAAACCACACACACACCCCTGCTTGCACAGTTCATGATTATTCGGGGAAGATTGCTAATAACTTGGAAACATTGTGAAATATAAGCATTAGCTGTTACAACACCATCAAATGTCATTATCGGAAGCTATTTTGTAGTGTAGATGTATTCTGAGGTAGTGATATAGTATAGGCCTCTGTCCTACAATGGTGATTTGGCCCTCAGATTGCAGCATTGTATAGTTATTGTCACACATTGTGGTACTTATCCAAAGGTCAAAAGCATCCTAATGCATTAAAAATAGTTAAAGAAAATCCTGTTTTGCGCAGTTATTTAAGTTAACTGACAGGTATTGCTACTGATAAACAAAGACTGTGTCTCAAATCACAGAGTACATCCAAGCGGTTCTTTTTGGATTTGGTTAAATGTAGTTAAGAGAACAACAATTTCTAAGTAAATAAAAAGAATGACAAAGACAGAATAGAAACAATAAGCCTTATGCTCTTAGCCTGTCAGGGACCCCTTGACCGATGGCTGGTCTGGAGGCTGAGGTTGTTCCTGGCACCGTTCGCAATCCCGGTCCAAGGCAAAGTCCAGCGACTTGGAATGAAACTCTCTTTTACACAGTGTAACAAACAGCCAGGCACAGAGAAAACAACTATAGAAAAACACATTGATCGTGCCATCTTTGTCACGTAAAGGAATGTTTACAGGACTTATTCAAAGTCATGCAGCTGCCAAATATCAACAACAAGTTTAGCCCTTCAGCCCATCTGTACACACAGCACCAGTTCCATTCATTTGCTTGACATGTGCAATGCTGTGAAATTGAAAAGGAGCAACATTCAATCAGCATCTCCTTTTCTGCTTGGGAACCTGGCAGCCTTCAGGGCTCAATATCAGGTTCAATAATTTAAGGACCTGAGCGCCTTCATTCAACCCCTAGACACCAAGTTTTGTCATCACATGGGCTGATACCACAACCAACTAATGGTCCCCATTAGTAGCTATTGATTCTCCCAGGCTGACACTTACCCATTCCTTTGGCTGCCCAACTCCTGGGCTGCATGTCCATCTATTGTTGACTCCTCCCCCCACCTGTCTTATGGCACGGTGGCTCAGTGGTTAGCACCACAGACTCACAGCACCAGGGACTTGGGTTCAATTCCAGGCTCAAGCAACTCTCTGTGTGGAGTTTGCACATTCTCCCTGTGTGTTTCCTCTGGGTGCTCTTGCTTCCTCCCACATTCCAAAGAGGTGCAGGCTAGGTGGATTGGCCATGGTAAATTGCCCGTAGAGTCCCGGGATGTGCAGGCTAGGTGGATTAGTCACAGTAAATGCAGGCCTACAGCAATAGGGTAGGGGTTAGGTCAAGGTTGGATGCTCTTTGTAAGATCAGTGTGGACTTGATGGGCCAGATGGCCTGCTTCCACACTGTAGGGATCCTATTCTATGTATACCACTCTTTTCCTACCTACAGTCAGTTCTGAGGAAGGGTGACTGGACCCAAAATATTAACCCTGCTTTCTTTTTACAGATGCTGCCAGAGCTGCTGAGTTTCCCCAGCAATTTCTGTTTTTGTTTCACTGTTCCTTTCCATCCATTTGAGAAAATGTTGCTGGAAGATTTTTTTTTTAAATGACAGCTGTAGACATTTGAATGCTTTGCTGGATTTCAATTGCTGTGAATAACTTCAGCTCAGCAAATGGTTTATTGATTCAAGAATTACAAAATCTTTTAAGATGGAGGCTGTAATTAAAAAAATAGTTGGTCTTGTTGTGGTTTCTTGTTTGGTTGCAAAGATAATAGGTACATAAAGGGTGATTTTCTTTGTCATTAAAGTAGCTTTCACTCAATTACATGTTTGAATTTAGTTTTTTTGTTAGATTGCTAGAGGCTAATTTTTCTCAATGACTTTAAAACAATTGCCATCTCTATTGCATGGTTCAAGAGGATTTTACACATTGGCAGCATGGATGTAACATATGTTGGCATGGGTGACCTGAGAATGCAGGCTGAAAGTGATGATATGAATGGTCTTGGGGTGGCATGGATGACCTGAGTAGTCATGGCAGTGGCATAAGGGATCTTAGTGGGTATGAGTGTCATGGCAGCAGGGCTGTAGTGAGCCAGCTTTCTGACCAATACATATCCCCACCTCTCTTGTCTCACACCTCTTCAGGGATTGTAAAGTGATGCCAAGTGATGTATGAAACGACAGAAGTCCTGGCAAAGCCACATATAGGCCAGCAATGGTTTCAGAACAGGCAAAATTACTCAGGACATGTTTTCCTGAGATCACAAGAAATTCCTAGGCCAAGATATTAGGTGGTGCTCGGATATTAATGTTTCCCAAAATGGTAGGAGGCTTTGGGGAATGGTGGGGCAGAACTGACATGAATAAATGAAAAGATTTTTTTCAGTAATGCTACTGCTCCTATATCTGCTTATATATTAATAATAAAATCAAAGGCCTTATAAACTATTGAAATGTATCAATAATTGTGAGAGATTTGTGCATAGAAACAAAAAATGCTGGAAAAGTCAGCAAGTCACTCATTGGAGAATAGCAAAAGAAAGATAGATGTCTCACCAAAGATTAGCTTGAAGTTCGAATAAATTATTTATCTACACCAAATGTCAAGTAAAGATTTGAGTCCTTATAATACAAAAATGTGTTCTTCCTATTTCCATCATATCAACCATAAAACCTCTCCTGATTCCCCATGCCATCAGTTATTACTTTCCTAATCTCTGCTGCACTTTCTATTATAACTTGAACATCCCTATGTCCTCAGATCTCTTTTATCTATAATATATCATTATGTTCCCTTGAACTGTTATCATTTCAACTCATTGATTATACTTCAGGATCTTTTAGTGATATTTCAAACTGAAGTTACTAGTGGCTCACATTCTACTAATCTCACCGCATTTGAAAACTTCCCTCACTTGCTTTCACCCAGCTCAATGCCTCCTCTTCTAACCTTTCGTGTGCTGCGTGTAGTCTACTCGCTCACCCGGGATCTCTTACTACTGAAAGTAGCGCTAACAGCTATGTTGCTCACTTTCATCTCACTTAATACCTTGCTTTCTCTTATTCCAGGAGAAAATAGCCCTCAATAGGGCAGGAAGAACCAAGATAGGTAGCAGGCTGCCCCTCTTTCAGCTTCTCACACCCTAGGAGGAGAGCTGCCTGATCCTGACTACTCTGAGCAGCTGACTGTCTCCATCTAAGGCCCTGGATTACAATCGGAAGCTGCCCTTAGTTCACAGAGCCAGGACACCCTGAACTTGACTGAGGACTTCTGACAACCTTGACAAGCTTCGGCTTCATGTCTGCACTATTGGAAAGGCAATATAGTCCAGTGTTGTGAGCCTGATAACTCTGACTGAGGGGGCATATCACAAAAGAAGGGTAGGGAAGGCAAGGCATTGATCCTGTGAGTATCCAGGTACAAGGGTCACCAGAGCCAAAACGTTAACTCTGACTTTTTCTCCACAGATGCTGCCAGACCTGCTGAACTTTTCCAGCAACTTCTGTTTTTGTTCCTGATTTACAGCATCCACAGTTCTTTCAGTTTTTATACTCAAAGTGAGCATGCACTAGGAAAGCAGGTGAGCAGCCCTCAGATACAGCCTGATTCAAACCATGAGCTGAATGTGTGTCCCTTTGTATTGTGTCCTTGCTGCAGCATTACATTGATAGTTGCCAATGCACTCTGAGGTGCAGCCCTGAAATGCAGAGGTGTATTGTAAGTGGATTGGAGGTATGCCACAATGACAAAGTGAGACTGGCATGTGTTGAATGCCAGAGTCTATTTGCGTGGGGCTAGTGCAGTTCCTGCCCATGGGCTTATCCTGAGGTGTTGGTGCCAACTGTCCATCATGGAGGTCCAGAGCAGTAAACTGGAAACGCCTTTTGACATTCATGACAGGAAGGTGAAGTGAGATTTGCAGATAATGAAGGTGATAACAGCAGTAATCTATGTTTCATAGGCATCTCACCACTCTCAAGCAAAAACATTTGGAACATAATTAGAAAATGCAATGTGCTGCTCCCGACATTAAGAACAACTTTGCTTGACTTCTTGTGATTTTCCGACATTTCTCGCCAAAATCCACATCATTGTAGATCCTATAAAATTCTGCCATAACTTTTCTCATTATTCAAGCACTATTAAAATATAATTCAACAGGTAATATCTAGTGCAACTAGGAATATTGCTGAAGTATGATAACTGGTAAAAGATTCATTATAATATTGAGTAATAGTATAGAATGGGTAATTAGTTATCACTATATAGCCTGTCCAATTTCCCCTTTCACAAACCTAACATAAAGGAAAGTTAGATATTGTATATAATTAACGGCTAATTTAATATCACCCATTTTACAAAGTTTAAATTGCTGCTATAATGTTCTAACTAACAATAACTGACTTGACTTTTTTTTTAGATTGAACTAATCATTCTACAAGTGCATCAGTTCCATTCACTCATCTGTCATTATTATCAAAACTGATCATCTCATTAGATTAGATAAAGCCCACATTGACATACGAATGAGAACAAAATATTCAAAGTCGCTTTGGCAGACAAATGTTTTTGACGAGTTACAAGCATAAATGAAAACCAGCAAATGTAGCTTTTTTACGTGAGCTACCCACGAGCAGCTGAAGAAACATTGCACTGTGTAGTAAAAGTTATTCCATTTTGAAATCTTAATGTAATGGCATTACTTTCTCAAGAATTTGAAACATGCGGTGCTTTTAGAAATAATAGATCTTTCCCACACCTAGGAATGATATCAGAAGATTCAGCGTTTCCTGCTTATACCTGCCATTTTGAAGCTAATATCTACACTTCAACCAAGGAGAATAATAGAATGATTGATAAAACCCTTAACCTCTAGAGTGTTACCTGAGGTTCACATCCCAGCCTGCAGTCTCATTCATGTTGACGAAGATTGCTACTCTCAACTGCAAGCTTGTTGCTGATCTAGGCATTCTAATGTATCTACATGAATGCTTAAAACAATCTCTCATTGATGTCTGAATCGCTGTGGGCAAGAAAACTCCGGAGGTAAATTAGTTTCACATAATTAGTCACACGCATTATTTTCACTCCCACTAGTGAATGATTGAAAGCTTCAGAGTGCCTTAGACTCTGGTCAACAGTAAATAAGCAATTTAAGAATATTTGATTTCAATGCAATATAATTTGAACATTTTTGATGCCGTGTAGAGTGGTATAAAGAATAGAGATGTTAGGATAAGGAACAACAAGCACAAGAATTGTTTTTAATGAAAGATTAGTAATTGAATGACATTGGTACTGTTATATAGTTCTAACAGTTTATTTTTCATCAAAGTATTTTTTGCCACAGTTTACGTGTCACTTACTGAGTGTAATAAAAATGCTTATTAGTTCGGGCAATGATTTTTAATTGAATACAGTCCACGGGTGCAGTAGCAAAGCATTGTGCACAACTTGTCTTTTGGTTAAATGTTACTGTGATTCAGCAAAGGATTATAATATGTTTTATTTCAAATATCTTGCATGCTGGCAAGATGGCGGCAGAGTGAGTCGCTCTATCTGGGGCTCCATTTGGACCGGGAACTGCGCGGCAGGAGCTGAACACACAGGTTGTGTCTGCAGTAATGGTGGCGAATCAAGAGTAGGCCGGTTTGGCAGTGAGAGCAGGCCAACGGGGCAGCAGTTGGGAGAACAGGCTGGTGAGGTGCTGGTGGAGAAAACGGGCCAGTGAGGCAGCGGTGGCGAGAAAAGGCCGGTGAGGCAGCGATGGTGAGAACGGGCTGGTGAGGCAGCGATGGTGAGAATGGGCCGGTGAGGCAGCGGTGGTGAGAACGGGCTAGTGAGGCAGTGATGGTGAGAATGGGCCAGTGAGGCAGCGGTGGTGAGAATGGGCCGGTGAGGCAGCGGTGGTGAGAATGGGCCGGTGAGGCAGCGGTGGTGAGAAAGGGCCGGTGAGTCAGTGGTGGTGAGAACGGGCTGGTGAGGCAGTGATGGTGAGAAAAGACCGGGGAGGCAGCGATGGCACGAAAAGGCCCGTGAGGCAGTGATTGTGAGAAAAGGCCGGTGAGGCAGCGATGGCGAGAAAGGACCCGTGAGGCAGCGATGGTGAGAAAGGGCTGGTGAGGCAGTGATGGCGAGAAAGGTCCGGTGAGGCAGCGATGGCGAGAAAGGTCCGGTGAGGCAGCAATGGTGAGAAAGGGCCGGTGAGGCAGCGGTGGTGAGAAAGGGCCGGTGAGGCAGCGATGGCGGGAATGGGCTGGTGAGGCAGCGGTGGTGAGAAAGGGTCAGTGATGCAGTGATGGCGAGAATGGGCCGGTGAGGTAGCAATGATGAGATGGGCCGGTGAGGCAGCGATGGTGAGAAAGGGCCGGTGAGGCAGCAATGATGA